TTTTGGTACCGAGTGTTGAACTCGAGCTCTTGCACTTGTGAGGCAGGCAGCAGAAACACTGAGCCAAATCCCCAGCCTGAAAAATTACATTCAGATTTAAACTTTGATGTTTTTTTTTTTTTTTAATTTAGGTACCAGTGATTGAATTTGGAGCGTTGCACTTGCGAGGCAGGCAGGTGGTGGAACCACTGAGCTAAATCCCCAGCGCTGTAAAAATTTTAATGAACACTGTAAGCAAAAACCAGCTAGTAGAGCGCTCATGTTCCTGCATAAGAGCGCTTAGTGCCAGGCGTGGTGGTGCACACCTTTAATCCCAGGTCTTGGGAGGCTGAGGCAGGAGGATCGCTGCCACTTTGAGTCCAAGCTGGGCTACATAGTGGTTCAAGGTCAGCCAGAACTACATAGCAAAAACCTATCTCAGAAAAACAAGAGAAAAAGAGAACTTAACATCATAAAGGTTTCACTTTGCCTGAGCTAATTTATAAATTTAAGGCAGTAGCATCTAAGTCCAATAGAACTGAAAACAATATATATAATTTATATAATATATAAGCAATAAAATCTATAATATACAATTTAATGATTTATTAGTAAACTATCCACATATAATATATTGTAATATATTTAATACATTATATACACCATGATAATGAAACATTTGTATGTATTTATAACTGATTTATTAATAATACATGATCGATATATAATTAAAATGATTCTAAACTTCATCTGGTGGAAAACATACAAGATAACTAATTTTTAAAAGAAGAACAATTTAGGCCAGGCCTGGATTTAGCTCACTGGTTCCACTGCCTGCCTTGTAAGCGCAAGGTCCTGAGTTTGATCCCGGGTACCAAAAAAATAAAATAAAAAGAAAGAATGAACGATGTGAATAAGGTCCCACCAAAAGTTTTGTTTTGCTTTTTAAAACCTTACCACCTTGAAAAGAGGAGGAACTGGAAGGAACACTCACCTCTCAGCTGCAGTGGTCAAGTCCTTCCGCACCAGGACATTTAAACAACCCCCAGGCAGTCACTTAATTAGCACGGTGTTCCTGCAGGAACGCACAGGTTGAAATACATGAGGCCCTGTTCCGACCCAAGGCCTTTAAGCCAGCGCTAGCAGGGCACCCACGCAGTCCTGCCCCCTGCCCTGTTCGTGTGACACTTGGAAGTACAAGGCAGACCCGGAACCATGTGTGTGCAGTGTCCTCTGAAGAGGGTACGACTGAATTTAGGGCCAGGGAGGAAGGCAGACGGGACGTGTGGTGCCCCCGCGGGTCTCTGCTGGACCTGTGGGGCCTGAGTTCTCTCCAGGAAGCATGTGCTCATCTTCTGTGTTCACACCCCTTGGGATAACTAATTAAAAAGAAAAACGGGACGAGCCACATGTCGCTGAGAATGTGGAGCAGTTAGAACCCTCACGTGCTGCTGATGGGGAGGGGAGAGGGCCCTTCGTCAAGCGGTCTGGCGGCTCCTCAGAAAACTACACGCAGAGTTCCATTTGACCCAGAGCCTTTTCTGCCTCGCATGTGCCCGGAGAAATGACAGCACACTCCCATGGCGCTTGGCACACGGTTGTTTGGAGCAGCACTGTGCAGAACAGCTGAACGGTAGATGCGGTCCAGGTGTCCACCAGTTGATGGCTTGTCCTCCTCACTGCGGCGCTTACCTCCACCGTAAGGGAAGGAAGGATCCATGGCTCACCCTTGGTGAGGCGTGAAGGCCACATATACAGTTCCTTTTACGTGAAAAAATGTCTGGAACAGATGACAGAGAAGCGGCTTCCTGGTGGCTGGGCTGGGGGAGAAGTGGCGGTAACTGTAGTGGGTACAGACTGCCTTTGAAAATGACAGTGCCCTCAAGTTGGAACAGATCTCGAATATGCTAAAAAAGAAATTGAATTTTACCACTTTACATGGTGAGCTGTGTTACATATGAATTAGAGCCCAAACCAGCCGCTCTAAAACCCTGTGCCAAGGTGTGCGCGTGGAGGTGGAGTATGTACCTTTGTTCTTTATCCTTTCCTCCCCAGGCATCCCCTGTTTCCATTATTAGCTTTGTTGTTTGAAAAATGTGAGCAGTCCACGCAAGGCTCAGAAGGCACGACTTCTGCCAGTTTTGATGTGGACATTGAGAACTTCGTCAGGAAGCAAGAGAAGGAAGGAAAACCCTTCTTCTGTGAAGATCCAGAAACTGACAACTTAGTGAGTAAATGTTTCACGTTTATGTTTTATTTTCATAACTTAAAATCTGTTCCTGAACTTCTGCACTTGTATTTAGAACTCCAGACTGCTTGTTGTTGCTCTAAAGGGTGTGACTGCTCATCCGTCACCTTAGCGCACCAGCAGAGGTTCCTGGGTGCACAGTGGGAGCAGGGTGGGAGGCGTGGCCTCGGGCGCTGAGTCTGGTCCCTGCCCCTTGCTCTCTGGTGCGGTTCCCTGCTCTGCTTCCTGGCCTCCACAAACTCAGCAGCTTTGCCTCTTCTGCTCTGATACTTCTGCCTTGGAGCCAGCAGGCCATGGACTGAATCCTCTTTAAATGTAAGCCAAATTAAACCTCTCCTTTAAGTTGTGGATGTGGAGTATGGTATCCCAGCAATAGAAAAGCTGACTGATTCAACGGGAGAATTGTATGATTATAAAATAACCTGCACTCTCCAGAGGAAGTGGAGAGCTTGTGGGGCTCGCACGATGGGCCTGTTAAAGCCAGCCATGCCCTGCGGCAGGCGTGTGGCACCAGCAGCCTTTGGCGTGTGCCCACTCTCTCCTCCCCCCAGAGGACACCCGGTGTCTGTCCCCTGCTCAGACTTGGCTGACAGACCTGGCCCCAGGTGCCATTGCTGGGTGTCTCTGAGTGCGCCCTTGGGGCTTAGCAGCAGAGTCTTTGCAAATTTCTTTTTTGCTAATAAATTGCCAGGTGTTTGCTTTTTAAAGCCTGCTGTGTACGCATCCTGACTGCCTGCAGCCATGTAGGTGTGCTGTCTGACCAAGTCTGTCTCCTGTCTCTGGAGTGAGACGCACAGTGTCTGTTTTAGGGTGAGAGTCAGAAGCCCTCTCTCCCCCAAGGCTGTGTCTTGCTTCTACCCCTCTGTTGGCCTTGTGTGGCCTGGCTCCATGAGGGAACCGGCATCCTTCACTCCCCGCCAGGCTGCAGGGACCAGCGTTCTGCCTGGCATGGGGACTGGCAGAGCTCACTGCTCCGTAATCCCTGTTGCCAGCCGGTGGTTCCCCCATTGCATGGACACATAGGCATTGCCTGGCATGGAGGCCACAGGCGGAGGGGAGCTCGGACTTGGTTTCCAGGCAGGCTGGCTTGTGTGATGGCCTCCTCACTGGGGTTAGTGATCTGCCATCCTACAGATTACTGCAAACCTCAGTGACCTCACAGAAAGATATAAAATGTTTACAGAAATGGTTAGAGAAAAGGGCTAGTCGGGGTTCTTAGCCTTGACACGAACCAAAAAGGGCAGAGTTAACAAATTGAGCTCCAGCAAAGCAAGAGCCCTTCGGGGGTCCCTGCTTACAGACGTGGAGGAGGAGAGAGTGAGGGTAGGAGACCAGCCGTGCCACAAATCAGTGGAGGGCCCGGCTGTGGCCAGGCTGGCACTGGGCTCCTGAGTTCTCTGCACACGGAGCCACCCAGGGCCCAGTGTGTTGGTGCCGGGCAGTCACCTGCTGTGACTTCCCATCTGTTACCAGCACTGGGGACGTTTCCATGTGGGAACTGGGCACCAGCTGGAGTGTGAATACTGTCCTCTTCTCCTTAAGTCTTTGTTTTCTGTGCTTCCAGATGGTAAAAGCAATCCAGGTGTTGCGCATTCATCTTCTTGAGCTGGAGAAAGTCAATGAGCTCTGCAAGGATTTCTGCAGCCGGTACATCGCTTGTCTGAAGACAAAGATGAACAGTGAGACCCTGCTGAGCGGCGAGCCTGGGAGCCCGTACTCGCCCGTGCAGTCCCAGGTACCCACCCCTAGTGCCCTGCGCGGCCATGCGACTCTGCCCGTGCACCTGAGCCCAGCGGCAACGTCCGAAGCGTGGGGCCAGCTTGCTGGCTGCCCTGCCCGGCCAGTGTGGGGACGGCCTAGGCCCTGTGCACAGCGAGGCTGAGCCCTCCATCTGCCGCAGGCCCGGTGGCCCAGCCCACGTCTCTGGAGGGTCAGGTGCTGATCGTTTCACTTCTTCTTGAGAACGAAACGCAGGTACACATAGGATGCTCAAAACCAGACACATAGTGTTCAGAAGTTGGTAAAATGTACACGGCACGAACCTTACCGTGGAGCTGTGTTTCTCTGTAGCCGTCCTTAAGGTATAATTCGTTCACACTCTTGCGCAGATTGCCACCCTGTCTCCAGAGCGCTCCCCCGCATCGCACTCTCTCCCGGCCCCGCACTGACACCCACCGTTCCGCTGTCCTCCTTATGGAGGGAGGAGGGCGGCACTGCCCTTCTGCCCTGGCTCATTCCCCATAGGCCTTCTCCCTGCAGACTGGCGTCCCGGGAACCCGCGTTGTTCTTCGCTGTGGTTCTGCTTGCGCCTCCCGTAGTTCATTGTCGGCCTGGCCCTGGCCCTGGCCCTGGCCCGCCCTCCGCATGTCATCGTTAGGAGAAACATCTGCTCCTGTCTTCTACCCATTTTCTAATTTGATGTTTTTTAAATGCTGAGCTTTGAGAGTTCTTTCCCCAGAACAAAACACACTAGTCCTGTGCAAGCAGGGGATATCCCTTTCTGACCCATGCCTTTTTGGTTCATTTTCTTCCTCTGTGTGCCCACTGTTAGCGCGAAGAGTGTGAGAGCAGACTTCTCACCTTGCTCCCAGACCCGGGGGTCTTTCCAGCTCCAGCTCTGCCTGCCCTAGAGGGGTCTCCTCGATGCTGTTGTCTGGTTGAGGACACTTCCCTGGGCTGCTGTTTTTCTGAGAGTTTTTATTATGTTGAATTTGTCAGGTGCTTTCCCTGCATCAGTTAGTATGAGGGTGGGATTATCCTTCTTTGACTGGTTAATATGGGAGATTACATGAATTGATTGGAAAAATCGAGTATTGAACTAGCCTTGCACTCCTGGAATAAAATCTGTCAGGGCACATAATTCTGAAGTGTGCTTGCTGATATTTCGTCAGGTATTTTGTGTCTGTATTCATGAGGGATATCGGTGTGTAGTGGTGTGTAGTGGTGTGTGTGTGTGTGTGTGTGTGGTGCTGGGGGTTGAACGCAGGGCCTCTGCACGAGCTACATTCCCAGCCCTTATTTTGAGACAGGCTCTCGTTAAGTTGCTGAATTGCCCAGGCTGGTCCTCAACTCATGGTATTCTGCCTCGGCCTCCCACAGTTGGGAATGTAGACGTGTCCCACCACGCCTGGCTCAGCTTTGGGTTTGTCTGGCTTTGCTGTGGACTGGGGAGTGTTTCCTTGTCTTCTGTTTTCTAGCAGCCATTGTAGAAGAGCTGTTTAATCTTAAGATGTTTGATAGAATGCCCCAGGAAGACTGCACATACATGTGGAGTTCTTTTTTTTTTCGGAGTTTTACATTATAATTTCCTTCACAGTGGCAGGGCTAGATGGGTAAGATGACGGTTGGCTTGGGGCCACTGGCTCCTCCAGATGCAGAGCTGTTCCTTTCCTTCCTGACCTCTGGCGTCTGCAGGGCCTGCGCTGATTGCCTGTTTCTTCCTGAAATTGGGAATCTGTCTTCTCTCTCTTTTTTGTCAGGCTTACCAGCAGCTTGTTTGCTTTGATCTTTTTAGTAAACTCACCGTTTGCCTCATTGATTTTTGTTTTTTGTTTTTCTTTTCAATTTTGTTGGTTTCTGCTCAGAAATTTATTATTTTCTCCTATCTGGTTGCTTTGAGCTCGTTTCCTGGGCTCCTGAGTGGGAGTCGGGAGTATGAATCTGATGGTGTAGCTTCTGCTGTGACCAGATTAACGTGGCAAACCTGAAGGGTGTCTTGCCAAGCCTACACGTTCACAGTGCTGCTGCCCTCAGACAGTTGCCTGACGATGGCATCCACTGATGTTCTTTTCCTGCTCAGACGTCTGGGCACAGGCTGTGTACCGGGCTCCATGTCGGGTGTCTTTTCTCCCTGCCAGCCCCAGCCTGGCTATCACAGCGAGCGGATGACGCTGCCCATTCAGGGTCACCCTCGGCTAGGCGATTTCTGATGTGCTGTTTACAGATGTTTCCGAGAGCGCTCTCACACGTCAGGGCCCTTGCTGTGGGCCCAGCCATGGCCCTCCCACGGGGAACGCCTTTGGCCCCGTCCCTCCCAGTTGCCTCCACGCCTGGGGCACACTCTTCTCAGTGCAGAGAGTTGCTTGGTGGCCAGCTCCGGTGTCTGAGGGAAAGGCTGGGATCCGATGGCAGAGCCTTCCTGGTCACCTGGCTCCTGAGCATGTGGGGCATGGCAGTGAGAGGGAAGGTGGCCTGCGGGAGCTGGGCAGATGGTCCTGTTAGACCGCCTCCCTCCCGTTCCCCACGTGTGCTTGCTTTCCCAAGGCCGCACCCTTGGGTTCGCTCCCAGCCTGGGCCTCCCTTTGCTTTGCCAGTGATGTCATGGTGCCACCACTTTGAGGTTTCAGACACAGCTTTCCCGTCTTCTGCTAATGCCCACGATGTGTGTGTGTTCCACGCCCAGCAGATCCAGAGCGCCATCACGGGCACCCTCAGCCCACAAGGAATCGTGGTGCCGGCATCTGCCCTGCAACAGGGAAATGTCACCATGGCGACAGTGGCAGGTATGGACACGGGAAAACCACACTTTCTGCATGAGCATTAGCAGGAAATAGGCCTGTTTGTATATGAGCAAGTACATAAGCATGATTTTCTAATTTTTTAATTTTTCTACATTTCACATTATTTCAATTAATGCCAATTTCTGACTACTAGAATCCAAGGTCTTTGAATGTCTGCTTATTAATTCTCACCAAATATATTACGCAAATTATGTTTTCCTACCAAAAGTATATTAGAAAGAAAACAGGTTTTATGTAGAAGTTAAAAATATGCTACAGAGCTGGATGTGGTAGTGCACACCTGTAATCCCAGCAATCAGGAGGCTGAGGCAGGAGGATCACCATGAGTTTGAGGTCAGCCTGGGCTACATAGTGAGTTCAAGACCAACCTGAACTACATGGTGAGACACCCTGTCTCAAAGAAAACAAAAGGGGGGGTGCTGGGGATTTAGCTCAGCAGTTCAGTGGCCTGCCTTGCAAGCGCAAGGACCGGAGTTCAATCCCCGGTACCAAAAAAAAAAAAAAGACCAATTATGATGTTTCAAGTAACATAGTTTTTAATTGTGCTTTTAGCAGCACCTGGAAATTCCTGTTGTATTATAAATTAATGACACAGCCCTAAGCCCTAATCTTACTGTTACTGTACAGCAAAATCCATGACCACAATGGGACAGAGTCTAGCATTCCCTGGTATGTGTATGATATTGTGAATGCAAAATGTCACAAAAATGGAACAGGGCCAGGTGTGGTAGCACACGCCTGTAATCCCGGCATTCAGGAGGTTGAAGCAGGAGGATTCCCATGAGTTCAAGGCCAGTTTGGACTCCATAGTGAGTTTAAGGTCAGCCTGAGCTACGCAGCTTCAGAAAATGGAACAGGGAATGTAGGGAGAGGCAGAGATTTACACTAAAAAACTCACGGTGTAGTTAAAGGGAGCCTCATGGAAAAAGAAAGCACTGCTGATCAAAAAGTATAAGGGCAGGGCTGGGGATGTAGCTCAGTGGTATAGCTCAGTGGTTTCACTATGTAGCTCAGGCCGGCCTCAGATTTGCAGTGATCCTCTTCCCTCAGCCTCCAGAGCACCAGGATTACAGGCGTGCGCTTCCACACCGAACAGCATGTGCTGATTATAGGAAAAAGTAAAAGTCAGAGGCAAGCAAATGGCCAGGTTCCCCGGAAGCCACCTGGGCTCTGAGGAGCCTAGCCGGGCAGCCTGGTGAGTCTGTGACAACTTACAGTGACAAGTGGACTTGAAGTGATTTAGAAGTTCATGGAGTTGGAGGTTATTCCTTCCCTAAGTATGTATCAAGAAGAATGGTTTTAAATCATCAGAACTTAAAAGTGGTTTTGTTTAAACCATCTTTTCCCTTTTGAGGTGGCACCGTGTACCAGCCTGTCACAGTTGTCACTCCGCAAGGCCAAGTGGTCACCCAGGCCTTATCTCCCGGGACAATCAGGATCCAGAACTCGCAGGTGCGTGTGCCTCCCTGGAAGGGCGTGGGGTGCTGCCCCAAGGCTCGGCTCCTCTGCGTGATGGTCACCTGTCTCTTGGAGCCAACTCTAGGTTGTTGTAGAAAATTTACAAAATGTGGGAAAGTCTGAAGGGGCAGGAAGCTCACTCATGGCAGGAAAGGCCAGCTGTGTGTGTGACTGCTCTGTGTGGCCACTGAGGTGTCGGGGACGGCAGGCCTGCCCCACTTCCACAGAAAGCTCTCGGGCCGTGCTGTGCCTGTGATGTGTCAGGGCGCTTCCTGTGGTGCAGACCGTGAGAGTCTGCGGGGATTCCTGGGCCCACCTCTTGGCCCTTCTGCTTCTCACAAGCCAGGCAGCTGCACATGCCGCAGGACAGAGCAGAGGGGCCTGCTGTTACTGTGTCCCCAGGCTGTGCTGCCCCCACCTGTGCCTCCGTGTGAAGTGAGAAGGCCAGATCGGCTGGGCCTCCAGGCCTCTGGGAATTCAGAGCACACATATGTCCACTGGGAGCTAGGTTTACATCAGATGGACTGGGTGAAGTTGTCATTTTAAGGGCGTTAATTTATTTTTTTGTTAGGTCAGATGTTTCCCCATCTGTATGGAGAACTCCGGGCGCCCAGCATTAAGGTTGTGGGTGTCTAGGATTCAGACACACTTCCAAACAGGCATTCCATGGGTGGGCAGTCTGGGTGCCCCCTGGGTTCCGTGATTCGAGTGGACAGAGTCCGCTAAAGGGGCAGGATGGGCGGGGCTTCGCTGACCAGGCCCAGGCCCAGGCCCAGGCCCACGAAGAGCAAGGTGCGCCCTGCCTCGCGGACCCATTCTCCAGCCAGCCTCCTCTGCCTGCAGCTCCACTGGGACTGTACCAGGGAAGCCAGGTCTGGTGAAAAGAGTTCCCTGGTGTCAAGCTGTGCTCTTTCAGAGGAAAACACTTCCAAGCCAAATTCCTGCTAACACAGTAGGAGTTCATGTCTTGTTCAAGAAGAAAAGTTTCCGGCTGGGCATGTAGCTTAGAGTGGCGGAGTGCTTGCCTAGAAAGTACACGGGCCTGAAGTGCTCTACTCACCTGAATGCTTTAGAAACAAAGGATGGAGCTGGGTGTGGTGGTGCAGACCTGTGATCCCAGCCGTGTGATAGGAGGCAGGAGGGTTGCAGTTTCAAGGCTAGCCTGGACAACTTAGCAAGACCCTGTCCCAAAACACAAATTAAAAAAGAAGAGAGGCTGTAGCTCATTGTTAGAGTGCTTGCGTAGCACATGTAAGGCCCTGCGTTCAACCCCCAGCACTGTTAGAAAATATAAACAGAGGGCCGTGGATTTAGCTCAGTGGCACCATGCCTGCCTTGCAAGTGCAAGGTCCTGAGTTTGATCCCTGGTGCCAAAAAAGAAACAAAAACATAAACAGAATCCACTAAAAAAATGTACACACACTTTAGCAGTTCACTGTGCTAATGTCTGCCGGCAAATGTCCACCACTTTGACCTTGTGTAATTGTAGAGGCTGAAGATATCTTGTGTTCAACTCAGTCTCAGAAAATTTAGCATTAAGACATCTGTACAAGTTTTTTTCTCTCCTGATGTATATGCTTTCAGGGCAGACTCTGTATATAATAAATACATATATATACATATATATATATGTATATATACCCATATTACATGTATGGTGCTATTACAGCTATTTGGGCTGCTGTGGGCTCTTTTCCTCTTTGGGGTCAAAGTTTGGGTTCTTGTGTTCCAACAGTTGAGGTAACTTACCAATGAGAGATACCGTTTTGTGTCAGAAACTTTCAGTGGTTTTGTTCAGGAGGTCAGTGACTACAGCCAGGATTTTCCCAGAAGGGCAGCCTTGGTGGCAAAAGTAGCAGCCGTGGTGGCCGTCATGAATAAGCCTGGGACCCTGCCCACCCTGCTGTGCACTGTCCGCCGCACGGGGCTTCCTGCCTGGGTTCAGCTTGTCACGGGCTGGGGCTTATGGTCTCTACCTGCGTGAGATGTTAGTGCACCTGCCACTGTTCCGGGAGGGAGCTGCTGCCCGTTCACACAGGCAGGAGCAGGCTGGATTTGGGCGCTGTCTTCCTGGGGCTTCTTCACTCTATACCTAATGATGTAGCCACTGCAAACCGCTCACAAACTTAGTTTCAGCGAGGTTCCGCGGCACACACCTGTTGTCTCAGCTCCTTGGGTGCTAAGGGAGGAGGGCTGTGAGTTCGAGGCCAGCCTGCGGAACACAACACGCCCCAATATCCCTCTGCCCCTCCTAAGTAAGGCAGGGTTCCCACGGCTCCTACCCCAAGATCAGTGTGTATGTCGAGGCCCAAGGGACCCAGGGAAGCACTTGCTTGGGCTTCACACATTCCCGCTGGCTCAGACCTCCCACCGGTGGTGCTGGCATGGCCGTCTCATTGGGCAGCTTGTGCCACTGGGTGGGACTGTGCTGTGCATGCTTGGACTGCCATGGTCTGGAGCCACCTGGCCGTGAGACCTACAATTTACGGCCCTGTCATGAACCTGTTGAGCCATTCCTTGTCACCATATCACAGAGGACACAGGGGAAGAGGTACCAGCACGAGGTGCAGGGAAGGGCTTGGTTTCCTCCCTCTCAGGAGTGCTGCTCTCCACTATCTGCAGGTGTGAGAGGCCCGAAGCTCCCAAGCCTGTCCTGTGAGATTTTATTTGTTTGGTTGGTATTGAGACGGAGTCTCGCTTTGTAGTTCAGGCTGGTCTTGAACTCACTGTGTGGCTCAGGCTGGCGTCAAACCAATGGTGATCCTCCTGCCTCATCTTCCCAAGTGCTGGGATTGTAGATGTGCACTGCCACATGTCCTGTGTGGTTTGTGGAGGCTCCATTACTTGGCACAGCAGACAGTGTAAGCTTCCACTCTTCCCCGCGAGAGGTTGGAGCTGAAAGTCCCACCGGGTCCCTGCTGGTACTGGCCCCATCCTCAAACCACCTGGGTGCCGCCAGCCAGCAGTCAGCTCACGGCACCCAGAAGGGCATCACTCAGCCCTCGGGGCTCCAGGGACTTCCGGAGCCTCCTGCCAGGCAGTGGGGGTAGAGAGGACGCATCTCTCACGGTAGCACACAACCTCAAACTCTTGGTCTGCAGAGGTCCCAGTGTCGCCACCATGAAATCTTTGGTCATTTTGTCTGTCTGCACTGTAGGCTGGGACGTGCCATGAGTTCCTCTTACTAACCGTGTTTTCTCTTACGGAAAAGCTCCAGCTGCAGTTGAATCAGGACCTCAGCCTCCTGCACCAGGATGATGGCTCATCCAAGAACAAGAGGGGCGTCCTGCCCAAGCACGCCACCAACGTCATGCGGTCCTGGCTCTTCCAGCACATAGGGGTAAGGACGCATGGGCGCCCTGAGCACCCTCAGAGCACCTTTTTCCTGACTTAATCAGCATGGAGAATGTATTTACGCATCTAAGAGGCTGGTTCCAAGCATTACCGTTTTGTTGCGGATCCACAGTGGGTTGAGTGTGGGCCAGGGGCGGGTGTCTCAATTACTTTCTCCTTGCTGAGACAAAATACCTGACACCCAGAGTTAAAGGGGAAAGGTTAAGTTACCTTAGAGATTGTAGAGGTTCAGTCCATAGTCAGCTGGCTCCAAGGCAGAGCGGTGTGGCCGAGGGGCATCACAGAGGAGAAACAGTCCATGGCAGGGCAGGGAGATGGCCAGCAGCAAACAGCAGCAGCAGCAGCCTGCCTCGCCCTGCTGTCCCATCCATGCCTTAGGATTGGGGCCACCCACACCCAGGTGGGATGCCCTTAAACCCAGCATCACTCCCTCAGTCCACAGTCACACACCCCAGTGTGGCCACCTCAGCGCATGAGGTTTGGGGTGCACGTAGATACATGCTATAGCAGCGCTTCGACAGATGCTGTGACGGTTCGTATCTGATGTCCTGCAAAGCCTCGTGTGCTCAGAGGTGAGGTCTTCCAGAAGGGACTGGATCACAGGGCACTGCAGCAGGCCTGGTGTTGGGAGGTAGGGCCTGGTGGGAAGAGGGGTGTCACTGGGGACTTGTCCTGAGAAGGGTGTGTGGCCCGCTATGCTTGCTAACCATTGTGCTGTGTGTGAGCAGCTCTCCTTACCTGCCCCTGTGCCAGGCTGTGAGCCTGATTAGCCTCTTCTTCCTTAAGTGGTGGGTACCAGCAATGGGGGAAGTCAGACAGACAGACAGACAGACAGACAGCTTCTGGAAACAAACTGCAAGCCCCCCCACCCGAAGGAAGCCAGCGAGGCTCATGCTGCCCGTGTGTGAAGGGAGGGGTTTGTGGTGCAGGGGCTGAGGAAGGATGCTTGCTGCCCACCGGCCTCGGTGTGTCTGCACAGGAGTGGTGTTGCACTGCGGACAAGGGGTCAGGGTGCAGACCTGGCTGCCCAGGGCCACAGGGACCCAGGGACCTCCCTGACACTGCCAGGGAGTGCGGGCGAGTGATGGGAAGCAAGCCGTGCAGCGGGGCAGCGCTCGTGGCCTGGCCCACCTGTGGCCTTCCCTCTAGGTGTCCTGGATGTTGCTGGTCTGTGTGCAGGAAGCACTGAGCTGCTCCCACGGCGTTTGTACTTTGTTGTTCGGGACAAGTTTTGAGTGACTTGCGGGAGCTGAGCTTGGTCACGGCCCTCCTGCTTCAGCCTCCAGGCGGCTGGGATTGCAGGTGTGCACCACCGCGCCTGTGCTTTAGGATTTAGCCATTTCTAAGCTGAGGAGCCTCCTGCTGAAGATCTGTGAGGAGGACGCGGTCTGTCCCTTCCTGCCCTCCTTTCCTGGCGAGGCCGCCTCTGTGCAGTTTGCCAAACACCCTCAGGCGGCATTGGCTGCTGTCTGCTCAGGTTTCTGGCCCCACTTCCATCTTGTTAGCCTTCTAAAGGGCGGGAAAGGTATTTATCACCCAGCCGTGAGCTCAGGGCGCAACTGGTTTGTCAGAGGAGCCGCAAGTGTGAGAAATGCAGCCTGGAGTCGGGCTGCGCTGCGCTGTGGCATTTCCGGTCGTGCTTGTGTTTAGCTTCATGCGAGACCAACTCCCGTGCGCCTGGTGTGTGAGCACCTGGGGTCCAAGTAAGGGACTCCGGGCACCCAGTTTATAGTCATGTCTCCTGTCTCCACGAGAAGGGTTAGCACGGTGGAGGGACACGGTTCTCTGCTGGGAATTCTGGTATTTACTTCTGTATTGAATTCTGGTTTTTCTTTTCTATTATTTTTTAACCTGGAGGGGAGAGCTGCGGATCAAACCCAGGACCCTGCATGTGCTGGGCAAGCTCTTGACCCTGAGTTGTACCCTTAGCCCTCAGCGCTGCCCGTCTTTCTCAGTGAAGCGCTTGGTCCTGCACGGCGGAGGGGCAGTGTAGCAGCCTCTCCACCCTAGCGCAGGCTTGGTCCTTTCCTGCCCCCATGACTGAGTCCGCTACCCATCACGGTGCATGCCTGCCATCGCATTATTCACACACTGGAGGAAGGGTTGGAAGCTCCCATCTGCCCGCTGTCCGCCTGGTGGGCCTGTTGCTGTCGGCCACTCGCCTTAGGGCCGACAGAGGAGAGGAGCAGAGGAAGGGCCGAGGTCCACAGTCCCTCTTGGGGCCTGGGGTGTGCGAGTCCCACCCTGCAGACCACAGGCAGCGGGAGGACACTTGCACCACTCCTCAGTGTGGGTGACAAGCGCGCCACCTGCTGTGTGCAGGTCCCGAGGCGCAGGGGTCAGCAGCACCTGTCTCCAGGGGTGACGCAGGAGCCCGGAGTGCACACGCTGTGTGCAGAGGCGTCTGGCCTGCAGACCCCGCTTGTCCCCGGAAGGGCTGCAGCCACTAGGTCATGAACAGACCCCAGGCGAACTGACGCCCGCTGGGCCTCTTGGCCTGCTGCTGTTGCTGTCACTGGAGCCCTGTGCCTGCACTGCCCAGCTGCTGCAGCTCTGGTCTCAGCCCGAGGAGAAGTGCCTCATGCTCTCCTGGGCACTGTTGAGAGATGCCAGTATTTCCTAGTGCTCATTTGTATGCTGATATTTCACTTAGATAATATTGGTTTCCTGCTTAAAAACCAACGTCCGTGGTGACCCTCCTTTTTGTTTTCAGCACCCTTACCCAACGGAGGACGAGAAGAAGCAGATCGCTGCTCAGACAAACCTGACACTACTCCAAGTCAACAACTGGTAAGGCGTCCGCTCTCCGAGCCTGTGTCTGAGGCGGTGTGTGTGGCCTGCTCAGGCTGCTGTCGGTGGCAGACACTGAGGGCCAGCTGTGCATGTCTTCCCGAGGGCTCCCACCCACGGCACAACAAAGCCCTCCACGGCGTCACTTCGCCAGGCCCACGCCCTTCAGACGGGGCTGTCTTAGTGGATGGCCTCTGTGGACATCTGTGGTGGCAGCGAGTGTCCCACACGCGTGGACCCTCTGCTCTGCCTGAGGAACTTAGTGCCTGTTAGTGCACTTGGGGATGCTGTCCCTCTGCTGTCTGTCACTAGGGGACGTCCAGGGGTACATCTGTATTTAGGTCAAAACATCCTCTTCGGGTTCTGGGGTCACATGTTTTTGTGGATGTGTGGTCCTTGGCCGCGCCTTCTCCCCCATGAGAGCTGCCACTGTCAAGGGCAGGGGGCAGCTCCATTTGGGTAGTGAGTCCTTTGTCTCCTTTTCATTATGGTTGAGGGGCAGGCAGCAACTTCCACTTAACAGAATCAGCAGGTATAAAGAAACCACAGCGCCACTACTTGTATGCATTGTTACCTTTTTATTTTAGCTCTGCTGAAATGCAAACTTGAGTGAAGTCTGCCTACCTGTGCGCTCCCGGGTGTGGCATTCAGTGTTTCTGTTGCCTTGCATTCACTCAGCCTGTTATTTCTCACTTGGGTAGCAGCAGTGGACTGTACTGCCTGGGTTACCTCCTCTGAAACCTTTTCCATAGAGTGCGTTTCCGGCATGCATCTTTGCCCTGCAGTGAGCCCTTCTCGGTGATCTTGTGTGGGCCTGTGTCGAAGCTGCGGGGGTCAGAAGAGGACTGGTTGGTTGCTCAGTTGACTGGGGCACAAGTGTCAGAGGGCCCGGCCATCCTGGGCGGGCGTTGCGGCTCACTGCAAGTCCTCCTCCGGGTTTTCCATCCACACTTCCTCCTGCTCCCCAGCTTGCTCCTGTCAGGTTCACGCAGTTGTCTTATCTAGAAGGCGGTTTTAAGTTTTTAAATTAGCAGTATAACTTTTTGAATTCGAAGTTTTCTGAAATCCTTTAATATTTGTAGCTATTCTCACTTTCTGTGACTCTTTCCTTATTTCTTTCTCTCTCTCCCTCTCTGCTTTTGAGGCAGGGTTTTGCTATGTCCCTAGACCCTCCTGCCCCAGCTTCCTGGGTAGCAGACTTAGAGGTAGCCCCAGCTCTTGCTTCTGTGTTGATAGAGATACTGTCTGATGGCTGAGACATCCAGCCCTCGCCTGGCCTCCCCCGCAGTGGTGTGGGTAAGGAGGAGGCAGCAGGAGGGCTGAGGTGCAGCCGTGGGTCCTCCGTGCTGCCCATGTGTTCTGTGCTGCAGGACCGTCCTCACCCCGGCAGAGCTCTGGCGAGTCCAGCCACTGTTAGCTTATGTCCTCAGTGCTTCTCGTCTGCAGTGAAGTCGCCTGGCCGTGGGGCGTGGAGCAGGGACGGCAGGGGCCATGCAGGTGGCACCAGCAGGGTGGGCTGGGGGAGAACCGACCCGACCCGACCCGACCCTACAGCGGCCAAACCGGCTCCCCTGCTCTTGCTGCATTATGGAAGCCGTGTCCCTCCTGCCTTGCTGACTCGTACTTCAGTTGGTCTCTTTCTAGGTGCGTCTGGGCTGAGGGGACAGAGCGGCCCAGGCATCGTCACTGCCCAACACAGCTGCTGTGGGAGCCGGGGACCAGGACAGGTGGCCAGCCCAGGACTCAGTCTAACAAGGGCAGCGGCCTGTGGAGCGGATGCCACTCTTCCCCAGGTCCTGCTGTCCATGGGCGCCGCAGCCAGAGGCACAGCTGTGCTGCAGGGCCGGGCACAGGGAGCCTCCCTCGGCTGCAGCTTTCCTCCTTAGAGAAAACACTGTCAGGCGTCCAGATCCGTGTCGTGATCTGTTTGTGTGCGCATCTAGCTCGCACACAGCGCGTGAGGTGAGGCGAGAGAAGCAACACAGAAGGGCCACGGAAGGGTGGGCGCTCACTTCAGGCTATTGTTAAACAGTGGGCCTGGCTTTGTAGTCAGGTGGTGGCTGTGCTGTCCACCCCTGAAGCAGTAGCTGTGGAGCAGACAGAGGCTGCCTGCGAGGATGCCTGCTCCTGCAGAGCGGCTGTGGGCCCTGACAGCGTCTGCAGGAAGCTCATTCTGGCCTCACTTTCCCTTTGTCCACACGCAGGTTCATCAATGCTAGAAGACGAATTCTGCAGCCGATGTTGGATTCTAGTTGTTCAGAGACCCCGAAGACGAAGAAGAAAACTGCTCAGAACAGGCCAGTGCAGAGGTTTTGGCCGGACTCCATCGCATCGGGAGTGGCCCAGGCACCGCCCAGTGAGCTCGCCATGTCCGAAGGTGCGGGGCGGGGCTGTGTGGGCTCCTTGTGGGTGGTAAAGGGCGCTGCCGGGTGCCGAGCCCAGGAGTGTCCGTGTCTGTCCTGTTTGCAGCTCAGTCCGGCTTCTCCCCGCAGCGCCTGGCGTCCATGCCCGTCTCACGTGTTGGTTATCCCGTTGGCTCCGCCCTTTGCCTGTCAGCACCTGCCATTCTCATGTGTTTGTTTCATGAGCCTCTTTCTGCTTCCATGAGCTTTTCGAATTTTGAATTGGTCTGTGGCCTTTGTTGTTTTAACGTAAGGTCTCCTCTGCTGCCCAGGCTGGCCTCGAACTCCTGGGCTCCAGTGATCCTTCTGCCTCGGCCTCCCCAGTAGCTGGGAGGACAGATGCACACCACTGTGCTCGGCTGTGTGCATATGTTGTGTGTGCACGTGTGTACATAGATTTAAATGTTACCTGGCTGTGCTTGCTCTTCCTCACATGGCAGTATGCAGTTACTGAGCAGGAGAGTCTTGGGCCCCCTTTTCTTTTTGTGGTGGTACAGATAGAGCCCGGAGCCTCGTGCATGCCAGGCAAGTGCTGCACCCCGAGTTCTGCTCCTGCCCAGTTTTCCTGGAGATCTGTTATCTGGCCCACCCAGCCTCCCAGGCCTTTCCGGGGTGGCATTGGCCATGTGTAGGTGTTGGCCATGTACACTGCTCCCGAGGCTCTGCTCGGTTTACCTGTGTTTGAGCTTGGACAGTGCTGTTCCTCTCCTGCCTCCTCCTCACTCATTGCCTCTGCAGTGCTATTCTTGCATAAACCCCAGGTAGCCTGTTTTTCATCTTAGGCATTGTACTTTTCATCTTCCCAGAAGTCCTGTTTGAGCTTTTTATATTTTCCATGAGTCTGCTAGGTTTTCAACACACAAACACGGTTGCAGTGGCTGTTTTGATGTCTGTCTGGTAGGTCTTACATCTCTGTTTTTCTGTTTTCTCTTTTGATCCAATAAATAATAGGTCGATTTCCCAGGCCACATGCCCTGGGGCAGTGGGCTTACAGGGAGAAAAGGTGTATTTTGGTCTGTGATGCTAGCCCAGATCAGGTGCCCAATGCCGCAGTGCTCTGGCAGGAGGGCGCATCCTGGTGGGGAGCGCGTGTGTGGGTGGAGCGGAGAGGCCAGGTCCCACAGACCCCTCCGAGGCCCTGGTGTCAGTCCCATCTCTTCCTCTTTCTCCTCCACCTGGGACCGCACCTTTCACACCCAGCTGGCAGGGTGTGTGGCAAGGTTGGCCGAGCCTTTCCGGTCCGCCTTCCTCGACCTTCCTAAGTTTCTCCCTGTTCCTTGCGTGTCCCTCTGGGGCGTCTTTCTCATTCTCCCTCCCTGCTCTTTGCTGTCCTGATCTCGGCTGAGACCGGCTTCCAGTCCGGTCCTTGTCAGCGGCACATGGGGGAAGCACGTGCAGGAGCCCCCGGAGCCCTGAGGTGGCCAGGCCCCGGCGCCCGCGTCCCTGGCTCCCGTGACGCCCCGTGCCCCATTGCAGGTGCCGTCGTGACCATCACCGCACCCGTGAACATGAATGTGGACAGCCTGCAGTCCCTGTCCTCGGATGGGGCCACCCTGGCCGTGCAGCAGGTGATGATGGCGGGCCAGAGCGAGGACGAGTCCGTGGACAGCGCGGAGGAGGACGGCGCTGCCCTGGCGCCCACCCACATGGGTGGGCTGGTGCTGGAGAACAGCGAGTCGCTGCAGTAGGGGCCGCCGAGCCCGCCGCTTTTACAGTTTGCACAGCAAACATTTTACACAGTTTTATTTCTAAGATGTTTTATATGTAGATATAGAGAAGTGCACTTTTGTATTTCATAGTCGGCTTAAAAACGGCGTCTTTGCCGGTGCAGCGAGTTCTTTCCAGTGTGCGCGTGCGGGTTTTTAAAGAGATCCCTTAGGGGCTAACGATCCGGCGGTGCTGAGTGACCCTCACCTGAGTCCCTGATTAGGTTAAGAATAGTGCTGCCGTTTTCTAATAAATTATGCAGTTTTAATCGAGTCCTGTAGCTTGCAGCAGATGTCGGAGGCTGCTGTGTCGGTGTCGCCGCGGACAGGAGCAGCTGCCTGGAGGCTGCGGCGAGGCGGCCTGCTGCGGACTGCAAGTGGTGGCGCCTTGAGCTCCGGCCACCACGGTGCGCCTTGGTTCCCTCATGGTCAGCGAGCCTGTTTCATGTGCTATATATAAAAAGAAACTCCTATTTTTACCTTGCTGGAATTATTGGATAAAAAGCTATTTTTATAAATTCGTTATGAATTGGATGATGACTATATTGAGGATAAAATTTCTAGAGAAGAGACGATACAGCCTGCATTTCCATTTGGGATGTTCCGAGTTGCCCAAATTAGAGACCCTGCCCACACCGGCTATTGTTCCGCGGTCTCCTGCTCTCCGGGGTGGTTTGCCTTCATTTCGGAAAGAAACAGCGACCTAGTTGGATTCGGACGTCTCCAAATTTCTGTGTCTGCACAGTGCCTGTGTTGCATTTTACGCATGGTCTGCGGTACCTGAGATTGTGCTCGAAGCACTTGGGGTCAGGGAGGCAGAGGGAGCCAGGGGCTGGCCGAAGCCCCGCCACACCTACTCTAGTCTAATTTACATTTGCCCTGTTTCAGGGTCGCCTCCCTGTGCTATCTTAAGTTTTTCAGTCGGAACATGTTATGCACAGAATGTTTATCGTGCACGAGTACAGTGTTTCTGCCCCCCTGGCTGGAGCGGGGGTGATTCACACACCACACTGTGTCACGTGATTGGCGGACGTGCATGAAGTCGCAGCGGCCAGCTGAGGTGCCGGTGCCATGACAGTGACCCTGCCCGGCGGTCACCTCACACGCACTTGCCCTCCTGTTGAGTGTTGTTGCTTCAGGGTTCCCCAAGCGCTCCGCACTCACTGGGTCACCCGAAATTTGGAATAATTTGGAGACTTCGTTTACTGGTGACAGACTTCTAGAGGAGGGTGGGCTTTCTTTTCTTTGGTTTTGGTTTGTTTTCATTCACTCAGGAGCAGATCTTTTCCTCAGAGAGAAAACCAGACACCTGCCTCATGCAGCCCATCTCGGTCTCACCGTGGACAGGGCCCTGCAGTCCCGCTGACAGAGGACAGAGGGCGTGGCCCAGCTCCGAGGCTCGGCAACTCTGACCGGCATAGACCAGGTTACACCAGGGTGTTGGCAGCAGACAGATTGTTTTCCTGTAACCGATAACCCCAGTGTGTGATTCAGGGAGTACATCCCGGGCATCCTGGTGGGCAGACTTCCTTAAACCCATCTCATCTCTTGGAGAGAGAATAACGTTTTCAATCAGCCCCCACATAAGTTATTTATAAATAGTTTTCAATATTTTAATTCAGGTCTGCATAAGCCTCAAAGATCATTTTAATTTTATTTAAATGCCAACTTTGTCGGACCTGGGGAGCCCCAGCTGCCCCTTGCCCAGCCAGCTGCTCGAGGGCAGCGCGGGGAAGAGATAGATGCAGGGACTGCGCTCTCCTGGGAGGCATCGTGTGGCCAGGGAAGACCCGGCTGCTGTGGGCTGCCCTGGCTGGGCCGCGAGACGTGAGACGCAGCTGCCTTCTGCTTTGCCAACTTCGGGGGAGGGAGATACAGACGGCCTGGGGGCCCCGGGCCGAGCCAGCGCAGCTGCTGCACCGCCTGCTTGTCGTCTGCGTGCGGGGCAGAAGCGCCTGTGCCTGGCCCTGTGGGGAGATGGAAGCGCGGCCTGCGTGCACTCCGTTTTCCGTTGGCCGTTTTCCACGCGGGCGCC